AATTAGAGCTGGCAGAAGTATTGCTCACTCCCACAGAAGTTCCTAACCAGTGGTGGCTGGTTCCTATTAGCACTTGAGGGGTTGGGAACTTTTGATAGTTCTTATTAGGACTTAGCACAGTAATCACACCCTCAACTTCCTATTTTCAGAGAGGGGAAGTCCCATTTGAGAAAGCTGAGAACAGATCTGACTTTGTGTTCCTTAACTGAAAGGACCTAGATTTAAACACTTTGTTCATAGGGTCATTTCCCGCCCCCACACACACACACTTTTTAAATGGGAGCCAAAACACATGAAACTCCCCTGGATCCAGGTAATTACTCACCAGAAATAGAATCTGCATCAGAGCAAAGAGGCCAGTCACCCAAAAACCCCTCTCAGTGAGTCAAAGGATAATAATGTAAACAGCTTAATATATACAACCTTTATACTCCCAGACCCTTGACAAGACCCAATCGGAGAAGGATGAGCTTATCACCAAACATGTGAACACATTCCAACCATCATGATCAAGTGTCCCATGCTGAGAGAGCTCCATTAAATACAGCACATTCCATGGGTCAGTGTCACCCCAGACGACAATACTCATGTTACACCAAAGGCAAAAAAACAGAAGGACTGAGGAACAAAATGGCCTTCAACAAGCTCTTCATATTCTCAAGAACCAGATACTGCCAGTCCCATGAACTCTCCCCACCCCAGCACATCCTAAACCTGTACTAGAGATGGAACTGGCTAATGGGAACAAAGAGCGGAATGAAACGCAAATGGCAGACAGACAGGCTGAAGATGAATTAAGATGCAGTTTGCTAGGACGAGGGCAGGAATGTTCACAGTAACTCAGCTTTCTCTGGAAGTGGCTATTGGGTAACAAGAGACAGCAACACAATGAGAAATTCTGGACTCTACCGCTTCTTGTTAAAGGAAAAAGTCCTTATCGAGTTATTTCAGAGCCCCTACTCTTGTAAGGATAATACAGCTGGGGATGAGAAGAGGGACCTTCAGAACAATGGAGTCTATCTGTGACTCCCCAGTCCTAGATTAGGGGATTTTAAACCAGAACTGGCCTTTGCACTCAAATATCCTGCTTAAGTCCAGGCACCTTCTTCTGTAGGTTATCTATATGGCATGTCATAGCAGACAGCTCTGATTAAAGAAGTCTAACCAACAAGTATACCAGAGAGCTCTGTCCATACACATACACTGGGTCAACCCTATACTGCTAGTTATGGTCAACCCAAGCTGATGAGCCACTCATCCCCATCTATATCATCTTGCCACCACTGCACACCAAACACAGAAAACTGACAAGTATTGGGAAAACCAATTCCTAAAAAAGGCTCTAGTTGAACTTGGGCCATAATTCTCAGAAGAGCTTCTGCTGATGAACTTAACTGGTTCTGGAAAGCACATTAAAAACCAGGGTTTTTAATGTGAATAGTTGATGGGTTTGCACTCTGGTCCAAACATGTGGGGTGGAATAAGTAGCAATGCTGACATACCCACTTACTCTGTGGTTTCAAGCTGCCCCAAAATTTCAATGCTCAAGAAGTTGCACACTATAAATCAGAGAGCTATTATTTGCAGCAAGCTCAGGGACTTGGATGGGTGACTCAGAACTGGCAATAGTGTCAGAACCTCCACATCCAGCTGCTCAAATATTGCCTACATCAATACTGGTCTGCATTCAGATGGCTGTTCTGTGCCACATCATGAGATACAGGCCCGTGGGTGTCAGGCCATTCCCTAGTGAACAGGTGTCCAAATTACAAAAAGAGAAAAACCCCTCTTTAGCCTCAGCTGCTTCATCTGTGCAGCATGGTTAATACAGATATTTACCTACTTCCTGGAGATGGTGAGGAAATTAGTTCATTAGTACTTGAAAGCTTTGAGATCTTCAGCCAGAAGGCACTTGGAACAGGCAAGGTAACAGGTAGGAATAGTAGCAGCAGCAGCATGCAGGGACACTGCCTAACACTTGGATAACAGAGAAACAGCCTCCACAGAACAGCTTCAACACACTTTTGGCAAGCTGTCACTTCAAGTGCTTTCAAAACTGCTGCCTATAAATCCAGCTGCCAAGGCCAAACTGTCTAGAGCTGGGACAGAGCCATTTAGAGCAACAGGTTCTCCTCCCACTCCCACCAGTGCATCCAAGTTACTGGAATGCAGGGGTGCTATAAACAGAGTTGTTACATTTGAAGAGATGGAAAAAGTTTTCCTTTCCAGTCCATGGGATTGTGGAGGAAATCCCACCCACAGTTGCTCCTTTAAATTTTTTTGTTTCTCTGCTTGCCCTCCTCTGCCCTGGATGGGTGGAAGGGTCCCACCAGCCTGGCCGTTTGCTGCTGACTGCTGGGGAAGCCAAAAAACTGCAGTTTTAAATATGCCATGGTTTTTGCCTCCCTGCAGGCCAGCAGCAAGGCCACCAAGGCCCATCAGCCAATCAGCAGCAGGCTGGCAAAAACTGCAGCCTATTTAAAACTGTGGTTTTCACTTCCCCGGTGATCATGAGAAAATGGGCTGGCCAGCAGGGCTGCGGGGGTGAAGGGAACGGGCAAGTGGTGAAACGAAAAAATTAAAAAGGAGCCGCTGTGGGGTTGTGGGCGGAGGGGGTGGTGTGATTTCCTCTGTGATTTATGGAGCTCCCTACACATAAGCCACCACCATGGCAAAATAGTGTTAGAGGAGCAGGACCAACTGGGGACTCTAGGAGAGAGTAGCTCACTTACAGGGCTCAAACAGAATCCTAGAAGTCAGAGATGAAAACAACTCTACCGCATTCTGTCCTCTTCCCATTAGTCAATGCTGAATCAGTCCCAGTGGTGTATTCTTCAGGGCTTTTATTTTCAGCTCCTGCCATTTTCCTGGCAAAACTATTATGCAGACTAGTGGATCTCTCTGCTAGACTTCACAAGATTAGAAGGGATATATGCACGACGCTGAAAAAGAATATTTGTTTCCTGTGCTTTGATGACATTAAAGAGCAATTTCTTGGTTAGGAAACAATACCCTGCAACTGTGCCGTTGTCAGACTCCCAAAGCCATCTTTTCACATAAGCAGAGCCTCCTGCTTTTCCCTGTTCACAGTGATTCTTCATGAACTTTTTTTTTGTTTTCCTCTACCACCTGCCCAAATCATAACCAGAGCTACTGCCTGTATGATATACTGTAGGAAAGAATTAATTAGAAGGCCTGTGGATACAGCAGTAGCTCCATTCAGAAATATTTTAGTTATTTCCATTAGGGGGTGCCTGGCTTGAGATATCTATACCAAAATTTCAAGAGAGCTCAGCTGCCATTTAGGCACACTGAGTCCATTGGGACCCGAGTCCACTGGAGTTCTCATGAGGCCCGATTTTCAAAAGAGCAGAACATCTCAGCTTCTATGGACCTTCACAAGAGTTATGAGCATCAGTCTTCTGAGAGTCAGGATAAAGGTATTTGACAACAGGCTCCAAAATAACTTTTGAATGTGAATGTGAATAGCTTGCAACAGTCTCAGTCAACAAAAGGTAAACTGTGTTATCCCAAGTTCTTGTAGGCTAAACACAGAGCTCAGACAGAAGTCAGTTAAATTTGTTTGGCACCCTCAGTGTTGGGGTTTTCAATGGAAGGTTGATGTATGAGACATAGGGGACATTTTTCTGGACATGTGCCTTTAACAAGACCAACAACGGTCTGTGGTTTCTTAAAGTGCACCAAAGTGATGCAAAACTCAAGAAACAAAAAGTCCAGGAAGTCAGAATAGCATCCTACAGAGCAAGAGGACAAACTAAAAATATCTCCTACGTTCTTCCTCTGTGTGGTTTAGAGAATTCAAGGAACAATGACTAAGGTTTCCCTAGGACAGAGGTTCTTTGCTACTTACATGCAGGATGGAGCTCCCAGCTCTTTGATGTATTTGCATTCTCCATGAATACAGAAGTCCTTATACTTTTGTAGGCATGGATCTCTCTTCTTCCCCATGCCTTTGCCTTTTCTCCTTTTCTTCCCATTCCCTTTTTTCTTTGGAGTAACCAGCTCTTGTGGTTTTGACAAGAAAGCAACTGGAAAACAAGTTCAAAAGAAAAAACATCCGTCACCTCAATTTCTTGCTTAAAAGTGAAAAAGGGCAGGAAACCTATTGTAAATAATTCAACTTTGGTGCCAGCAGAGCCCTTTGTTCAGAGATCTGCTGCCAAGCAGAAGTTTTTCCATTCTTGCAGATTTGAACAAATATCATGGCATTTCTGATTCATAAAAATGCTGAAGGAAATAAAGGAACAAGCTACTGCAGATTCGGGAATTAAAACAGGGCTTTATCTATCTGAAATGTTGCTATTATATGCACTGGTTTCCACTGAATACAGAAGATTAGTAATTGTGTCTTTATCTAGCCTTTAATTTCTCTGATCAGCCTGATCTTTTGTAAGAGCCTATTCATGGTCCTGATTGGCCTCATTTTCCTGTGGTTACAATGATGGCTTGCACACAGGACAAGAACAGTATTAAAAAGGGCAATAGCAGGTCAATTTAGGGTTTCTGAAAACAAGCTGATATCAACCGAAATGTTCTTACAAAATATGTAGTTACTTTTTTATTTGAGTGGAAGCAATTTATTTAAGTAAACCCAACTCATGCTCATTTGGCAAATGTTAACTGGAGCTCTCTGGATGCTCATTAGGGACACCTTGCAAGGTGAAACTTGACTGGGTTTCTAAACTGGGCAAGACAAAAAACTAATTACTCGATCACACAAAATTCTGAGTCTGCTCACCCCCCCAAGTAAATTCAGTGGGAATATATGC